GGATCATGGGTGTCACATTTTTAGGAAACCCACAACTGATCAAAACTTTTTTAATGTTGTAACAGTGTTATATTATAAAATACTTGATAGAACTTAGTAGAGCATAATTTGCAATTCAAACCATATCACCTCCTTAGATGTTATCTTAGGCACCATCCAGCAAGAGAGGGGGTTTTCCATTAATGTTTAAGAACACCAGTGTGTCAAAATAGAAACTGTTCACAGGAAAGTACTATTACAACGAATTTGTCATCACAAATGCATTCTGACAACACTTCTGCAGCTGTCATAACAATCTGTTTTAACTTCTTCCTGAAATGAAAAATCTTGTTTCACAGGTTAAAATTTGGAAATACAGTAAAAGCGTTTAAAAAAGCAAAACCGAAATAAAAGCTTTCAAGTACCAAACTATTTATTTGGTCATAAAAAGATATTACTGATCTTTACCTTTTAGCCATAGCTATTACATTATTTTTTTTTTAATCCATCAGATTTTCTAATTATATAAGTGTGTGTATATATATATATATATAATTATTTTACCATGTCCAAAATAAAGACAACAGGAAAGTGACTTCTCTACACTACAGTTAACTTGGTAGATTTTACTGTTATCAGCAAGAAACAGTGTGAACCCTCTAAAATTAAATTATCAGTAGTAATTTAAATATACAAAGCTACAAAAATAAAGCACCACGGATGTGTAACTGTACTTTTCTTCTTTCTAATACTGTTAAAATGTTAGTTCATTACCTATTTTATACACAGCCTCACCACTTGAAGCAGCAATCTGTGCATGACTTAGTTCGTTACCTATTTTATACACAGCTTCACCACTTGAAGCAGCAATCTGTGCATGAATTATCAATTTACAAAGGATTGTCAGGCATCATTATACTGTATAAATAAAAACAGAGCATCTCCAGAAGCAGATGGTAAATGGCTGGAAGTCCAAGAAAAGAGATTTCTGCTGGTAATTTTCCAAAATTAAAAGATGTTCATAATTCCTGTAGTGCCAAGTACAGGATAACTGCTATTACAGAAACTGAAGACACATTTACTCATAGGATTTTGGGGTCTTAGCACCTTGTGATTTTTAGCATTTAAAGCAGCACTTGGCACACTCTTCAGATTCTCAAAATCCTTCCATCCTACACTGCGTGTCCCTCATTTAGGACAGCATCACAAAGAATGGTCTTGTACATCTTCTGGGAAATCAGCACGACTGAGTGCCTCTCTGAAGTGCCTGCAAGCTCACACACAGCATGGGGAAGAAAAAGGAGTTACAGGTCTATGCACAGTTGCAGGGCTACAATCTCCTTGGCCTCACAGAGACGTGGTGGGATATCTCATGTGACTGGGGTGCTGCAGTGGATGGGTACAGGCGAGGGAGATGCTGTTTACATGAGAACCACAGGAACCGTCTCCCTTGCGATGGATGATGAGCCAGCTGAGCCTTTATGGGTCGCAATTAGAGAGCAGGGCAACGCGAGCAATGTTGTGCTGTGTCTGCTCCAAACCTACTGATCAGGAAGAAATAAGTGACTGGCAACTGGGGTCCTGGTGGACAACAAATGAACAAGAGCCAGCAATGAACCCCAAAGGCAAAAAAGGATCAGCAGCATCTAGTTATACACTGGAATGGATTGTCCAGACAAGTTGTGGGGTCTCCATCCCTGGAGATATTCAAAGAACACCAGGTCCCAAACTGCTATAGCTGACTCTGCTTTCAGCAGGGGGTTTGAACTAGACAACCTCCAGAGCTCTCTCACAACCTCAACAATTCAGTGATTCTACTATTATCTCAAAATATTTTTTGATGCACACACTGCAGTTTCATTTAATTACACACACCAATCCACTGCTGGACTGGAAGACTGTCCCAAGCCAAAAGCTGTGATCCAGCAAATGTATAAAAGTGTACGTTTGTCCATTTAAGCTCTAGAACCAGGAGGCTTGCAGGGATTTAAGCAACCAACTCCATCAGTGGAAGATGATAAATAGAGTGAAATATACACATCTACCTTCCTTACAAAAAGTCCAACCATTTAATTTTTAGATCTGAACTCAGTTTTGTGGATTTACATGAACGATTACAAGTGGGCCTAGTTTATACACGGAGAAAGTAGCAAGAACTTCAGGTACAAGTACTGGAGAACTATGGATTTTTCCAAGAAATTCAGAACTTGCAACAAAACAGACCCTGCAAGATCTCTTAAGTCCTGGAGTAGCAGGAAGGAAAAAAGTAGACAGATTCCTCTCACACAGTACTAGCAACAAGCACAAACTCAGTACAGACCAGCATTAAGCTGGACAGATTCCTCACATACAGTACTAGCAACAGCACAAACTCAGTACAGACCAGCATTAAGTTACACATTTTCACAAGAATTACAGCTTTCCCAGAAAGTGTTTCCAATGAAGGTTGTGCTTACAAGCTTGAGACTAAGAGCCATACACTTTTCCATATCAAGAAGGCAATTAAATCAAATCAACAATTATTTCAAAGTCTTCTAATTCCTTGGATACATGGCTTGTGTTTGAACTGATTGCAGTGTAAATCAGATGACACAGACCAAAACATTGAAAAGGAGTGTCTAAAAAAACAACCATGCATGTTTATCCTAATTAAAGATGGAAATCAAACAGTTACTTCCACTGTAGCTAGAAACAAGCAAACACACCCCCACTATCAGAAAGCAAGAATAATCTGCTAGAAAAGCTATGTGACAAGAATCTGGAGTGACAGCAGTTAGTAATGCACTGTAATTTATACTGCTCAGGACAGCATTAAGATAGCTCAGTGATCAGAAATGTGTGAAACACGAACAAGATTTTTAATTACATTTCTAAAAGGATATTAAAAAGATATTTTCAAGTTTATCTCACTATTAAATTCTGTTCTCAACTGAAATAAATTACAATGCTGATTTTTCTTTGGGATGTTCTTACAATCCCCCTGCAATACATTAAGATTCCCTTACCCATTGCTTTTGTTTCTTCTCTTTTAGCATTCAGCAGGGAAAATTTGAATTTTGCTCTGACTTCACTTTTTGGACAACTGACTAAAAGCAAATATAATGACAGGTAGTCTTTGCTTTCATCATCTAATCCCTTTGGATTCACTCTCAGGCACCTGAAAAAAAACGCAGAAATTGTACACTTTAAAATCGCACCTAGAATAAATTCAGAAATCTTTTATAAGATACAACAAGACATGCTACTGAAATAAATGTTTCCCTTATGGCTATTGAAATTTTGAAATTAGAACCAATCCGTACCTATAGTAAAACTTCAAGAAATGTCTGAGTTTTAATATTTATTTGCAATTTAGCTTTGCAACTTCTGCGAGTGGAAAAACAAAGGAACAAGCAAGCAACAAAGTTGCTAGAATAAGGAGCTTACCACTTCATTTTGTCATTTGGCCCTGATGAAAAGGTAGAACTCTTTAAAACTTCACCCATTTCTTCTCGGCAAAAACTGAAGTTATTAATGGTCCACATGTAGGAAAATTTTACTACTTTAACCTGAACAAAAGATGTAGAAAATGTCAATTAAATTTAACTTACGTATCAAGTATTAACTATGAGAACTAGTTAGACTGTCAGCACAACTCAATATTTTTAGGTTTTTTTAATTATTATGACTAGAAAATAAATCCATTGGAATTTATGTAGTTACCTGTGTGTAACACCAGCTTTCTGCCACAGGTCCACTGGACATCTCCCCAGGAGGAGGTGGGGTGGGAACCCTTGACATTGCCACTTATTGCAGGTTTATAGTATCAAGATAGCAATCCAAACTTCAGTAATTCTCCTAAAAAAAAGTAATTCATATATTTTGTTCACCCTTTTTAAGTGTGGGGAAAAAAATCCATATTACTGTGTTTACTAAACAATGCATCTGAAAGTTAAGCTTGAAAAGAGGACAATGGCTTTGGTACTTAGCCAGGCTAGGTCTCGCACATTAATGACCATTTGTACTCAAAATCTGCAGGCTGAATCCTCATGAAACACTTTATAAAAGTGCCTATGCATCATACAATAACACTATAGACATTATTTCAACATCACCTTTGCAAACTACCACCTTCATCACTCCAGTCATGTTATAACTTTCTCTTGGATCTTCTCCTTTGATCTGGAGGGTAACTAGGGCCCTGCGAGCACTCAGTGATTAGCACCAATGCATCAGTTGTCCAGGCAGGCATAATTCAGTCCCCAAAGCGCACCAAGCCACCCGGGAGCAGAATAGGTTCAAACAATCCTGGGACTTCTCAAGGGAGGGTAAGAAACGAAACTTGTATTTAAAGTAGTGTTTTCTTCATGCATCTTTTCACGGTTGCCTTGTATCTTTAACACCAACAGATTCAACTGAAGAACTACAATCACCACAACCATGCGCTCGCTGCCTATTGAAGCACAAAGCTGAAAACCAGTTTCAGTCAACTTGCTAACTCTGAAGACCTAATAGCAAATAAAGCAATTTTGTTATGGATTATCCCCTAA